AGAAAACAAGCAGTTAGTAAATGAATAGATTGGAGGTCTAAAAGGGGCAATTTTTTTTTTTTAAGAATAGAATTAGAATAGAGAGTGCAAGAGTCAGAGTCTCAGAGCAAACTTACTGGACATGCAAGCTCATTTGTGTCTCCTCCTTTGGGTGGTTCTCGCTTTTTGAAGCTTAGGCAGGATATAGGAAAATTATGTTGTTACAGTTTGGACGGGAATGAGAATTACAGATTAAATGACTTTCTCAGTAAATGATTCAGTTTGGATACTAATGGCACTAATTAGGTCAGTAAAGTGTCTCATATATACCAACAGTACATATCAGATAGGGACACACCAAAATTCTTGATTATTCTCACAAAATAAAAAAAGTATATATATATATAGTATATAAGTCTCTTATGCTCGTCAGCATTTATGCTGCATTTATTTGATCAAAAATACAGAAAAAAACAGTAATCTTGCCGTTTTTATTTTAATATCCTTTAAAATTTAATTTATTTCTGTGATGCAAAGCTGAATTTCAATCAGCCAATACTCCAGTCTTCAGTGTCACATGATTCTTAAGAAATCATTATAATATGCTGATTTATTATCAGAATTATCAAAGTTGGCAACAGTTGTGCTGCCAAATATTTTTTTAGAACCTGTGATACTTTTTTCAGGATTCTTTGATGAATAAAAAGTTAAAAAAAGAACAGCATTTATTCAAAATATAAATCTTTTCTAACAATATACATCCTTGCTATCACTTCTTAACAATTTAACACATCCTTGCTGAATAAAAGTTTTAATTTCTTTAAAAAAAAGAAAGAATAAAAATGTATTGACCCCAATTTTTGAACGGTAGTGTATATTGTTAGAAAAGATTTCTATTTTAAATAAATGCTCTTCTTTTTAACATTTTATTCATCAAAGAATCCTGAAAAAAGTATCACAAGTTCCCAGAAAATATTTGGCAGCACAACAGTTTCAACACTGATAATAAATCAGCATATTAGAATGATTTCTGAAGGATCATGTGACACTTTATACTGGAGTAATGATGCTGAAAATTCAGCTTTGATCACAGGAATAAATTAGATTTTAATGTATATTAAAATAGAAAAACGTTATTTTACATTATAACAATATTTCACAATATTACATTTTTTCCTGTATTTTTGATCAAATAAATGCAGCCTTGATGAGCGTAAGAAACTCCTGTAAAAAAACATTAAAAATCGTTCTGATTCCAAACTTTTGACCGGTAGTGTATGTATATATATATATATATATATTATTGACATCACCTGATTAGAAAGAAAACAGGTTCTATGCCACTTACCATATATCTGTTGTAAACAGTTGTAAACAGTGGAACTTATAGCTTAATTTGCTGTTCATATATCTGTTCATAAGTACATGCATGCATAAGCAAGTTTTTATAGTAGAATTTGCAAATTGTGTTTTTAAGAGCAGTGGTTCTCAATTCCAGTCCTCGCCTTTTGCATGTATCTCTTATCACTTCAGACGTTTGTTCTATTTGACCTTAAGTGCCCTGCAAAGTGGACTTCACAAGATATTCTGCCATGATTCATGTTCAAAGGGAGCATATATGATCCATTCAAAGGGCATTACAGTTTTTTCAGCTGCTTACACAAAAATCTTTACTTGTCACACAGTTTCTGAAACCTAGAACCACACACCAAGTCTGGAAAACCACACACTAATTCTCGGCCTTTGACTCAGTTTTCTATTTCATAAAGCACTTTTTGCAAAACACAACAAACAATTCTCTATATAACACACAAAAATCTAACAGGAAGTATCTTGATTTCCTTTTTCAAACACAACCAATCAAAATGCCACACTAATTGGGGAAGTCGTGGCCTAATGGTTAGAGAGTCGGACTCGTAACCCAAAGGCTGTGAGTTCGAGTCTCAAATCCGGCAGGAATTGTAGGTAGGGGGAGTGAATGTACAGCACTCTCTTCCACCTTTAATACCACAACTGAGGTGCCCTTGAGCAAGGCACTGCTCCCCAGGCGCTGCAGCATAAATGGCTGCCCACTGCTCTTGGTGCGTGCGTGCATGCACATGCACATGCACGCGCACGCACTTAGGATGGGTTAAATGCAGAGCACTAATTCCTAGTATGGGTAACCATACTTGGCCACATATTACGTCACTTTCACTTTTAATTCATCAGTGCCTCACACTAACTCCTCACATGTGCAAACACTCTTTGCTTTACTTAAAGGTACCCTGAAGTGCCTTGAAACACGCAGTGTTATTCTATGTGGTGACAATTTCAACTGAAACAGGAAGACAGGGCGGAACATATCGAGCAATCCCGCCACCTTTTTAAAATAGCCAATAGAATTTCTGCTAGATATCTGCGCAGGCCAGAGCCCTTGAGCTCGGTAAAGCCGCATTTGACAGCCACAGTCTAATAGATTACCCCATAGATTTAATATGAAACTCTTAGTAAAACAAAATAGTGATCATAGTTAAACTGAGGCTGTTTAGCTTTAAATGTGTTTAAGCCGACTTCTTTCTTTTCTTTCGTACTGTGTAATACTGTATTCACAACCACAAATGCTTACAGTAAAAAAAAGTTTGGTTTCAATCTTGCTTTCATGTTTACCACGAATTTTTCAACATCCCTCTGCCAATTACTTTCAATATTGTACAGAAATGTACATAGGAGCTCATGAAAGAAGAGCTTTAGGTTTTGAATAACTGCGTGTATATAATATATATATATATAAATATAACATTATGGCAAAGGTGTTTGCAACGTAAAACAAATGTTTGCTTTTGAGATGTGTTTGTGATATTTTGAATGCAGTGCTTCATTTTGCAAGAGATGTGAGGCAGTTTGCATTTTGTGTGAGCAATTCTTGGATTTGTGTGAAAAGTCTTGAAAATGTGTGTAAGCAGATGAAAAAAAACTGTAGCCTAAAGTGTTTGAGATTAATTTAAATTGTATTTATTTACAGAGGTATGTCACACTTCACACTTCTCTAGTACGTTTCGTCACTGTGTGAGGAAGCTGCAGGCAGTGCTGTAACGCAAATCCATGAATTAATTTTGCGAAGTGAAGTAAACTGGGGAATAGGGAGCAATGAACACTGTGTAGGGCCCTGCCAAATGGAACACAGTTCATGCATGGAGCTCTCTTCTAACGAGCTGGTTATCTGAATCAGGGGTGTTAAATCAGAGAGACATGCAAAATATGCAGAGCTGGGGGTGACGAGGACTGGAATTGAGAATGATTGTCTCAGAGAACAAGTAGGCCTACTCTATGAGTAGATGCAATATCAGCAGTGGCCATAAGGGGACTCTAATGAGCAGCTGAACCATCATTTCAGATTGATTGAGATCAAGGCTGTGAGAGACACCGCACAC